TCTATGGTTTTTAAAAGTTGGATGGTGGGGTAAAAAATCCGGACTGCTTATAAATCCGGACTCCTTATGAAGTACGTTACCTTAAGAAGGAGTATTAAGGAAATTATATATATAGTAACTAGAGTCTAGGCGTACTGAGTCCGGATTAGGACTAGTATCGTACGAGCTAGCGTTAGCTATATATTGCCCGAGTACGAGCCTCGACTTCTTCCCTCCTTAGTCTAATATATACTCTTTAACCTACCCCCTGCCTATTATACTCTATACCTTATAAGAGGATTATTACCGTCTTGTCACAAATCACGTGCTAGCATGCGACGAGTTAGTCCAGACGGCGTTCTGACAGGACAGATACAACCAGAGTAGTTATACCATAGCAGTGGTTACTCAGGGTTGTTGAGTATCCAAGGATTTCATAGTATTCATAGTCACGTGATGGAAGCGCGACAGCGCGACCGAGCGAGCTGTCGCAGCACGTCGATCGAGTAGAACGACATTTGNTGACAGGACAGATACAACCAGAGTAGTTATACCATAGCAGTGGTTACTCAGGGTTGTTGAGTATCCAAGGATTTCATAGTATTCATAGTCACGTGATGGAAGCGCGACAGCGCGACCGAGCGAGCTGTCGCAGCACGTCGATCGAGTAGAACGACATTTGGAGAACGAAGGTTCTATATGAGACTGGCACGTCTGCCATTAGATAGGAGCTTCGTGCTCAACTTAGTTATCAATCTTATCATATTAGTTTGACATCTTTGATACAAGTAACGAGTTCACTTCCAAGTGAACAACCCGATAGTCTTCTTCTTATCATAGCATACCAACCAGCGAACACCCAGCCAAGTTTAGTTAGCCAGTTTGAGTATTCGTTACACGTCTCTAGAGGATATCTACTTAATAACCTATACCTTTCTTAGGTCCTCTATAAAGTACTAGAGCCTACTATATACTATAAACTTAAGCTATTTTTTATTATTTATTTAGTAAACTTTAGTAAATAAACTTTTTATAGCTAAATAAATAAATAGTATATATATATATAAGAAAGAAATTCTAGAAGATAGTAATTACTTATAAGTACCTAGATAAATAATAACTTAAGAACCTTATAACTTATACTTAAACGACTATTTTACTTAAAAACATTATACTTATGGTATTACGTTAAGTTATTCAATAATTAATTATATAAGTAGAAGTAGTACTAAGTTTTTCGATATAGTACCGCGGAATTCCGTACGGCTATTTCCGCGGTTTTCCGTACTAAAATTCCTTTAAGATATGCTCTACTTATCACTCGAACAAAAACGCGCACGCCAAAGAGACGATCATCGTTAGCGAGGACAACGATGACGATGGAAAGACGTCAGATATCGATCAATTTTATGTATTCTAAACCTCCTTCCTTCAATAATTGACGGGGAGATTGTGTGGTTTCGTTCTGCTCCTCTCCATTCGAGGGTTCCTGTTACTGTACTCGAGTAATACATCAAATTCAATGTGAGGGTACAGACGTGGAGGAAGCGATGTGGCCCGTGCCCTTGGAACTGTAAATAGCCTCAGATCTTACGATCACTTCCACTCTTTGTAGACAATTTAGTTCTTACGCATACAGTTGACCTTGTCGCTATCGCACCCTTACATTCAACCCATGGGAATCAGCCCAACGATGGAAAATCAAAAGTCTTTGTACGAGTACGTCCAAAGCAACACGGGAGTATGGGTCTGAGTCTGGCTCTGGCTCTTAGTGTGGGAGTTTGCCTCATATTTACCACATTTGAGGGCTGTTTGAGTCCGGGTTTGCACTCGTGGTCAGGATTGAAGTCGCTCTAGAATTTAGGATTCTAAATAAACTATATTTAACTTCGCTAATAAAAACGGCCAACTTATAGTGGAATCGACTAGTAATAAAGTTATTAGTAAATCGGTTAAGTTAGTTATATACCTATAACCATCTTAGTACGCCTAATATATAAGAGCGTGGTACTTAAATTAAATAGGGGGTTTCCTACGAAGGATGTCTGATAATATTAAATATTCTTGTATTTAAACCTCTTATTAGTCGAATAGGCTAGAGCGGGTATTTCACATGTTACGTAATAGACTCTAAGCTAGAATTCCAAATTCCATAGAGGAATTACAGAATATATTATAAGACCTTACTAAAACTGAACGGAACATTCTAAGTAGGGGGTCTGAAATGAAAAGGAATTCTAGTTGCCGAACGCTGAAAAACGGTAGCAACTCGTAAAATGAGTGTCCGCTAATCGTAACAATAAGATAACTCCTAACAAGTAATACCCCTTTATGAAAAATTCCTCACCATATCGCTATCTACATTATAACACCTGATCCCAAATCCTCATCACCAGTTTCCCTGTAAAACCTATCTCGTACCATAAATAGCTTCTGTAACAATCGGGATCAACCCTCGCCGTCTATTATAACGACTTGTAGAGCTTAAACCAATGTTGTTACTATTTCCTTGAACTATACTTCTATTATACTTACCATGTTCAAGGAAATATTAAAGTAGCGTCTATTGGCATACGAAGCCACCAATGCATGTGCCATCCGGGGCAGATTGCACACACTAAGGTCCATAGTTAGTAGCTGGCTAACAAAATCCTGGATCTCTAGGAAACTTACACAACAGTTGCGAGCTTGTCTGGTCTCCAATGCTATTGCCTTTCTCTTCGCAGGTGCACTCGCAGGTAGACATCTCCACTCCAAGCATGTTGCATCTGGGGCAAATTGCACACTATAAGGACCGTAGTTAGAATACCATAACTAGGTAACAAAACCTCTGGGCCTCTGGGAAACTTACACAACATTGTTCCTGGCGAGCTCCAAGAACACTTCTGTATTCATTTGCCGGGGTGGCTGTTGCGAGGGCAGCCAAAGAAAGGGCAAATATAGTAATGAATTGGATGGTTGTGGGTTTGAGAGAGTTCTTGGTGTAGAGTTGATAAAGCTGTAAAGGTTTAACAGGAATAATTGATTGATGGTTTCTGAAAGAGCATATAGGAAGGAAAGATTCGAGAGGCAACTTATACTTTATATCTCCTTCCATATCCTCTTGTCGTAGAGTCCTGGTTAGCGTAGCCTGTCATATGTTTACGACATAAATTAAAGTTTTGTATTTAATACAAGTTCTTACTCGTATCGAGTAACGGAAACGTTTGACTCGCATGCGTACATCGAAGGCAAAGTATTACATAGGAAGCACTCCCTACAAGAATACTCGCTAAAATCCTATACAACATCTAGCCCTGAGATATTCGGCATTAACATTTTCCTACACAGCATCGAAGTGACAAACTGGTTTCCTAGAGTCACAAGACGATATTCTACTTTTACCTCGTCGTTTAGAGACTCTAGAATCGTTCGCATAGGCTAGGTAAGCCAAGAACGGTGGCGTGTAAAAGATTATAACACTAGGTTCCTCAAAGGGGTTTGCTAGCCCAGGCATATCTGCTTAACCTTCAAATAAGTTTCATTCATGGAACTATATAAGAAAAAGTCTTATTCTCAGGTAACTTTCAACCCTCTCTATAACCATTGACAGACTCTTATACCTCCGTTCTAAACACCCCCAACCCTCGGAAACAAACCCCGATCCTCGAATAAAGCTTAGCTACTTAATGTCACATGCGTATACACAGTCTAGGGAATATACCTTGGCATGTACCCCTACTACGTACCCCCGCCTAAATGGCCGCCCGTAATACGCGACTATAACTTTACTTGAATCGCGCGAATATGAGGCTTATACTTGTATTACGTTACTATCTGTCGTAGACGCATAATACCAAGTACTTAACGTACCCCTACCTATCTCTTTATTGTCGCATATGTATATTTCGATTCTTGAGTCTACGATTTCCTAGTTAGGAGGTCGGACCTTTCCGAATAATACTACGGGGCTTAATCCGACTTACCCCGCACTAATTGAGTTGTACTATCCTTGGGTACTAATAAGACTATGACGTGGAAAGAGCCGCATACGCATCGCATATAGATATGCGGCTCGCGGTTCGGCTCCCGCCAAACGTGGGAGTGCCGCCTCGGCACCCTTATTGGTGACCTGGCCTACACAAAGAGTTAGTCTCTCATCGAGACTCTAAACTAAGGTTGCGATTACCCTCTCGCTATCTGGTACTCGCTATCGGATGCTCGCTATTGGATGCTCGAGTACCTTAGAGGTAAAGCAAAGTCTTTCAAACGATATCAAAACTTTTAAAAAGGGGTTTTATAAAAACTTTAGGCTAGAGGTAACCACTCCCATGTAATATGACTACGAGTAAGGCGGTTTTTGTAAAAATGGGTTTAGATATAAGATACCGTAGTAAATCGACCTTATAAAAATGCTAGGATGTGGTTGGTGGATATGTCTTACATGCTCCGAGCTAGTTAGAGTCTGCGAAGTCTGCGCGAACGATCGATTCTTGTATAGATCTACATTTATTTCAATATACAGGATCTCTCCGACCGCAGTTATATAGGAAATCGTATAGTAATTAATGTCCTTTAATTACTACGAGCCAGTCGGAATCGATGGATAATTGTGGGCATATCTACCCACCTCACCCTAGCATTTTGTGTAAGGTCGATTTACTACGGTAGTTCACTTAATGCAAAACAGTTTTATATCGCGTCCTGCCGGTGGGCAAGACAAGTGGCAGCTTGGCATAAGTGGCAGTTTGGCACTGGAATTTTACTGGTATAGAGATGTACACAAAATCCACTACGCCAAGACTGCCACTCATCTTGTCCACAGGAGAGCGTCCTAGGAGCGTCCTAAATCCCACCTCCTCCCCTGTATACGCTTATTGCAGCGAAGCAGGTAGGGTATCACTCCATAATACAAAGTATAACACTCTAAGCCAATTGGATTGTCCGATTTATTCGGAAGTATATCAGAAAGTGACAACGGGGGAGGGACCCGAGCAGTCCAGACCCTTTATGCTTGGGGGCACGCACTAAACATAAACCCACCTCCGGTGATGTGTTATTAGAGTTTTACCTACAACAAACATTCGACGGCGGAAAGGGTCCACCCGTCAAAATCGCTGGATCGACTGAATTCAATATTTATATTCTTACAGCGTTAGGGTTGGGTGCATGAGCTTTACCGAATGTGGGGTGTAGCCTATGCGCTGAACAGCTGCTAAACCTTACGATGATGCAACCAAACCTAGCTGGACAAGAAAAACAAACAGAAGGAATGCCAAGAAGAGGTTGGAGGAAGGGGGTGTTGTACGAGTGAATGAGTGCGAGGCACAAAAGAAGTCCGTCTGTCTCATATCTGCAATAGACACAACATCTCTCTACGAACGAATCTACAAAATACACAGGCTTGTGGTAGCGACGAATGAGCGAAAACACTGGGGCCTATGAGAGCTCACTGGTCGCCAGGACACTTGCTATTTTCGAAAGCCACTAAGGTGGCATAGGGGGTCTCTTCGGGTTCTGTTAAAACTTCTGAATTTTAAACGAGGAGACACTGTTTTTAACGCCAGGTTTCCTACTCTACGTAATTCGGGAAAATATATAAAATACACTAGCGGACTCCCTATTAACCTACATTTCTACTAGTGCTTATACATCTTTTTAGTCACGTTGTTATGATTTAGTGTTTAAAAGGTGCGTCAACAAGTGCGATTTGGGAGGAACAAAATAGGAACTTTTTTCAGGTCCCGAAGAGGGGAGGAGAGGGTTTCTCTCTCTCTCTCTAAGCCACATTTGGATAGAAGACGATGGGTACGTCCCGTAGAAGTGTATGCAAGGTACAGTACTCGTACAGATTATTATTATTATTATTATTCCTTTTAACGTGCTGTGTGAGTCTGAGACTATAGTAGCACGGCTGGGGGTTTCCCTCCAGCAGATAACTGAAACTGTACTAAATACATGTGTGAGAAGGGAGTTTTGGTGAATACAGTTATTGGGTTGTTGGAAGCAGCGAGGCTTCTGGTTATGACAAAAGAAAGACAAAAAAGAAAGTGTGTTTTAGTACGCCCCCTGCGTTTCACGCCCTATACCACGTTCATTCTCGTCCTCGTCCTCGTTCTCATCCTCAGCTGCTCGTTGTGTGTGCCATAGTCTAGTGGCGATTTTGGTGGTGCGAAGAAAGTCTAGTGTGGCCTCGACTCCTTTGGTGGTGTGAAGGAGGGATTTCATAGTAAACTCTCGAATGTGGTGTTTGAGGAGGTTACGCTTTAGTGCTTTCCTCGCGTCTCCAGTTTCTGGACAGCTAAGGAGTAGGTGAGTAGGCGTCTCTTGTCTTCCACATCTACAGCGGTTGTTGTTGGTATGGCCAAGCTTGTGTAAGTATGATTTGAAATATCCATGGCCTAGCTTAAGCTGGTAAAAAGCACTGGCTATCTCTCTCTTTGTTCCTTGAGGGACGCAAGGTTTCGACAGAATCTTCCATGGGAATTCCCTCCGATACGAGTGTTGATTGGTTGATGGTTCTGTAGAACGGGAGGGTGTAGCAAGCTTTTGGCGCCATTCTTTGCTTTGGATTTGCCTGATCTTGACTCCAAGCATAGCAAAACTTGTGAGTTGGGTGGATGGTTGGATTGTTGTGGCGGCTTTTGCAAGCTTGTCTGCTTTTTCGTTTCCTGGAATGTTGGTATGGCCTGGTACCCAGTGAAGTGTGGTGGTGGCTCCTTTGTTTACTGTCTTCTTAGCTGCCTTAATAGCTCTGATTTGACAGTCTTGCCCTGGGTGATCTGATGTAGTTTTTAGCCGCCATAAGCCTGCTTGGTTGTCTGAGTAAATGTGGAAGTGCAGTCCTGGTCTCGCGTGCTTGGCGGCATATTCGATTGCTAGCGTGGCTCCTTCAACTTCTCCGTTGTAGACGAGCTTGTTTGGGCCAATATTGACTTTCTTTTCATAGTGGATTGTGCTTGATTGAGGGGAAACTACAGACAGGCCTACGCCAATTCCTCGGCTATTTTCAGTTGTTGTAGAGGAAGCGTCCGTGTATATAAAAATACTGTTGTCTGGGTTGTTTTGGAGTAAGCGGAGGTGAAGGTTTGCTTCTTCTTCCTTTGACAGTTTGCTGATTTGTACTCGGTACAGGGTTTCTCTTTCCCATGGAGGAAAGTGGAAGTGACTTAGTTGCTCAAGGTCTTCAAGGTCGTAAAGGTTACTAATGGACCTGTGGATTCGCTGAAGTTGAGGAATAGCTGGCTTCTTTTTTTTGGGAGTTGTCTGGGTATTGAGAAGTTTGTTGGTAGCGTAGTTGATAGGGTGAGCTGGTGAGAGTTTGAGAAGTCGGAAAGCATACATTCTCAGGGAGGCGGAGAGGCGGACTTCGGGAGGCGGGAGAGCACTTTCTACTTCCATTGGGAGGATGGGAGCGGTTTTGAAGACGCCTAATATCTTCCTAATTGCAAGATTTTGGAGCTTTTGGAGTAGGGTAGTGAATTGTGCTTGGCCACGCCACCATATTGTAGACCCGTAGTCAGCGATGCTTGTAACGCATGCTGTGTAGAGCTGTCGGAGTGCAAAAGGGGTAAGGCCTTTTGAGTTATTTGCAAGTCTTGACATTCTGAAAAATGCACCTCTGGCTTTTGCTACCTTAGTAGCGACGTGGTGCTTGAAAGACAGTGAGGGGTCAAAGTAGATGCCTAGCCACTTGATGCTTGGTTTTGGGTGAACTGCCTGATGGTTTGGGAGATTTAAAGTGAATTCTTCTGTGTTTGATTTGGTCCAGTGTATAAGCTCTGTCTTATCGAGGTCAAATGCGATGCTGCTCTCGTCTGCTAGTCTGTAGAGCTTGGTGGCTTCTGCTTCTAGTCTTTTGATGTTGTTTTTGAGGTGGCGAGAGGCTGTGGTAAGTGAGATGTCGTCGACATAGG